TCATACATCCAACCAAAACCAAACAAACTCACTGCTGTTGAGTTGGTTCTGATTCATAGAAAACCTTCAAGTTTCTAAGGTGGTAATTTTTATGGGAGGAGGTTTCCCTTTTTCCCAAAGAAGGAGCTGATGGATTTGAACCTCTCATTTGATAGTATCAATGCAAAATGCACTACTATCCGAGTATGTGTATTATTAGTCAAGAGTAAAAACTGCTGATGGTGAGACTTGGGGATAGGTTATACTGACCAAAGCAATGCAACCTATGCAATGTTTAAAAATAGGAGTGCGTCTTTATGTCCAGGGTAATTTTAATGTGAACGGTTGGACCAAGTCCCTCAATTATGAAACTGTGTTGTCAATTTATCAAATGATGGCAACTTTTTATGACTTACGGACTAGGTGGTAAAAACGGTTAAGGACTTAATCACACTATTACAGAAGCCCTGATTTGCTTGCAAACCCCACCAGCTGCTCCTCAGGAGAAAGATAGGCAATCTCCTCCTGTGTGATTAATTGCCTCTAAAGACCTGTTGGAGGGTCAATTACAAGATGGTTCTGACTCAATGCTACCTAAACTACTTAACAACAACTGTTTATTACATGGGGAAAAGACCAGCAATCTCCTCCTGTGCAATTTACGATCTCTGAAAACACACTGGGAGGGTCAGCTAGGAGTCGGTTCAGAACAGCACATAAAAATAACCACCAAACCTAGCAATGGAAAATACAGTGAACATTCCATAGCACTGTTCTTTCTGGGCAATGGAGGAAAGCGAAGGCAGTAAGCTCAAGGTGTGGGGGTAATTGAGAGCTGTTAGCCTCTCGGCTAGGCTGCTGACCCAAACATCTGGAGGTGTGTCCTGTAAAGATCATGGCCTACTGTCAAGTGGGTCCCTATGAGCAGACATCAACTCAGTGGCATCTAACAACAAACCACTCATGCTTTTTCTTTCCATCTAAGAGATGTCAAATGGCATGTTAAGCTGCTCTTCTCTTCAAATAAGACCAAACAAGCAAACAAAAATCCAAAGTGAAATAACCCACCTCTTTTCTTACCCCAGAAACAAGAGTACAAGAGTTGTCAGTGCAATAGCCCAGGCTACAGCTAGTTAATGGAAGAACCAGAAATAGACTTTGATTCTAAATCCAGTGCTCCTCCACACCATCCCAGACCATTCCCAAATACCAAATATGCACCTAAGAATTGCCTACAGGCAGAATATTTAGTGTGTCTCCCATAAATCCACTTTGCTCTAGTTTTCAAATGGAAGTGCTGCTACTAAGGTTAACAAAAGTTAGTTCAGCAGTTTCTATCAGTCTATACTTTTTCTGTAAATAGACAATAGATAGAGAGCGATGAGATATATTTGGCATTAATAATAAGGCCTTATGCGAAAAAAATGCCAGGAACCTTAGTACTACCAGAAAGCTTACTTTCTGACTGACTCATGCAGGGGTCTAGATAGTTCAGGTCATTTTCTCCTTTGGAGGTGTAGTCTGCAGGGAGTTGCACTACTAACCCAAAAGTGGCAGATGGTTCGAGTCCACTAGCAACTCTTGGGGAGAAAAATGGATAATCTCCTCCCATGTGATTTACAGCCTCCAGAAACCCATTGGAGAGTCTGCTACGATTCATTCTTACTCCATGGCAAGGACTTTGATTTCTACTTTTCTACTTTTGACCACCTAATACTTGTCTACCTTCCAAACCTTCTTTCCAATGGGAGAAAGCTGTTTCTTGCTACCTTTAGAGAAAAATGACTATTGACTCAACACTCAGCAAAATACAGATGATATTCAGATTTTTTTTCCTCAAGGTTTCAGTATTTGCTATCAGATGCTTTCCAGTTTTGATAAGAAGGAGAGAGTTGGAAAGAAAAAGAGACGCAAGGGAGGAGAAAGTTTTCCCCAGCTTCATTTTATGAGAGGGCTGGTCTTGGCTAGCCCTATTTATCTTTTGTGCATGGTGAGATATTCTGGTGCTGGGTGAGGAGCATGTCCAGCAGAGTAGGTACGTAGAGAAGGGTTGCTTTCCCAGTCATTTATTTATTCTCCAAGATAAAGATACGGAGAAGCAAATGGGGTCAAGATGTTGATACTGCTTTTCACTACTTTGTCCCTGTTTTCCTGGAGCGAAGTAATACTTCAAAAGTTCTTGGGAGGGAGGGGGGAGACAAAAATCTTATTGCCTTATCGTGGTTATAGTTGCTGAATCTGAACCAACTCATAGTTGACCCTCCCAGCAGGTTTTCAGAAACTGTAATTTGCGAAGGAGATGGACCATCTTTCTCCCCAGGAGTAGCTGATGCATTTGAACTGAGTGCCTTTGTGTTGGCAGCTCAACTCCTTACCACTAAGCCTCCAGAACTCCCTATAAACTTTAGTACTTCTAAGATGATGTATTTCTGCACATGAGCCCCTCTCAAAAGTTTGCTTTCAAGTTTCCCCTGAAAAATCACAGACTTAGAGGTAAGAAGTATTACGTGTATTCTTGTAGAATTCACTGCTTAAATCAGAATTCCTCTGATTAAAAATCAGAGAAACCAAATATTATTGAGTAGATTCAGATTTATGGTGAGCACATATGTGCTATCAAGTAGACCTGTAGTGGTTTTCTGGCTGGGAAGACTGCCAGGCTTTCTGTAGTATGATGAGCCATGGGTTTGAAAGTCTAACCTTTAGGTTAGTCTCAAAAAACTCATGGCCATCAAATCAGAACTGACCCATAGCTGACCCTCCACTGGGTATCTGAGGCTATAAATAGCTCAGGAGAAGAATGCCCATCTTTGTCTCACAGTGCTGCTGGTGGATTCAAACTGCCATAACGGAGTGGCCTTGTGTGACTCCCTACAGACTATGCTACCAATTTAGTGCAAACCATTTGTGCCCTTCAGAGACATTCCATATTGTTACTTGATACTGTTAACTCAACCCCAGCTCCTATGGTCCTACATGCAACAGATTGAAACCTTGTCCTATTTGGCACTATCCTCATAATCACTGTTGCGGTCACTCCGTCAGTCTGTTTCACTGGGGGTCTCTCCTCTACTTGATGCATCATCTACTCTTTCAAGACATGCGAGTCCTGGTTGATATTCCTTTAAGACTTTCCCAAAGAGCTTTGCAGCATTTAGGAGGGAGTGAGAGGATCACCCCCATTCCCCTAACCAGCCTTAGGTGTATATTCCAAAGTGTGAAAATGTACCAAGAGACTTGCCTTACAAATTAAGCTGGTTGAGGCTATTAACTGTTTCACGTTACTTGGCTCCTTTTAACCTCCAGTCTAAGAGGGCTTAATGAGAAATAGTCTGTCAATTTTCAGCATTTCAAGCCACCGCTCTTGTTTCTAAGGAGGACACACACTGTGTTGTGCAATTAGAGAAAACCAGGCTGAGCTTTCGTCATGCGAAATGTAATGCCTTGGAGCCAAATGATGCAGTATTTTTAGTTTTAATTACTGGCTTGTTCTTCACTCCACCTCCTGCCCAACGACCTCCCATGCCTTCTACCAAGAATCTTAATACTCTCCCCTTCAGAAACCCAGTTGGCTACATTGAAATCATTCCTCCCCATACCCTCTCACTTGTTTGTGAGATAAAGGAAGGGGGCGATGTTAAAAACCAATGAACCTAGTTTACATCCTTCATCTCTAGGGAAAAAAATCTTAGCAATTTTCTAAGGGCTAGAGAAAGGTAGGAGGTGTTAAAACATCCTAAAACATCCTACCTCCCCCAAAGAGACAGTTTTCGACTTCAAAAACCAGCTGTGGTAAAAATATCTCCCTAGAGCAGCCAGCTGTTTATTTATAAATCTCTGTGTAGGGAATCTTTATTTCTCTGAAGTGTTTTCAAGAAAAGGCATAGTGTTTGGGTGAGAGGGGCCAGGGTTGCTGGCAGCGAACCAAACACTGCAGACTCCTGGGAAGGGGGACGACAAAAAGCTGCCTGCGGGGGATGAGATGTGGGGTGACGTGACAGGGCTTGGGGATAACTGGCTTGTCGATGGCCCAGGGTCTCAGCCTTTTGCAGGCTTTCCTAGTCGGGCGGAACAAGGAGCAGCCGCTGTTCTTCCTCTGGCCCAGCAGATGGTGGTGTCCGTCCGGTCCTCCGAGCCGCAGCCCGCCCGCTCCGCCCCCTGCTCGCAGCCCCCTCGCCTGCA